GTGAAGGGGTTTTATTCCCTCCCTAACTTCAGGGGAAAATCTCTACCTGGGGAAACAACCTTTCTTGGAGAGGTGACCTTGGTTAAAACACATAGTGCCAAGAAGGTGAGCAAACATATTAAGAACAGTATGCCATATACGCCAGGTCCCTTGAAACATATGCTGTACAGATGTTTCTTCCCTGCAGCAACTGTGTCAAGCAGCAAGGATGGACCAGCTCCCGGCAAGCATTTTTATTTAATAAATAATCCTACCTTTCCTTCTGATTATTACCCCGTTTTGCTTGCCCTGGTTGCTGTACTTCATTTAAAAATTTTTTTTCAATTAGAGTTGACATGGATTATATTAGTTTCATGTGTACAGCATAGTGGTTAGACATTTATACAACTTAGAGGTGATCCCTCGGTAAGTCTAGTATCCGCCATACACTAGACATAGTTATTACAGTATTATTGACTGAGGAAGGGCTCAACAAAGGAACAACAGTGCCTGCCCATATCTCAGACCTAGAGAGTGCTGCCCCTCCAGCCCTTGCCCTGAAGCTAGACAATTCAGTTCCTCCCTGTGTGTCCCTTTGCTGGAGCTTAGGGCGAGTGTTTATGCGTGAGTCTGTGCTCATGCCCTTTAAGAGGGTCAAAAGCAGCCCTCAGTCTCACCTCCATTCAGGTCCCTATTTTCACAGCCAGGTGTTGTGGGACTCCTCTTCCTGGCACTGGTGCTCCAGGTTTGGCAGCCCACTGTGGGGCCCAGATCCCTGGCTCCTCAGGGGTGAATCCTGCCATCGAGATACAGTTCCTCATTCTTAACCTCCACACCCGGGTGTGGGCAGCCCATTTTGTGTCTCCACCCCTCCTACCAGTCTTGACCTGGCTTCTTATATCCTTAGTTACAGGAATTCTGTTCAGCTGATCTTCAGTAGGTTCTCAAGGGTGGTGCTTCTATAATTTAGCTGTAATTTTTATGTGGTTGTTGGAGCAGGCGAGCACAGTGTTTACCGACTCTACCATCTTGACCGGAAGTCAATGTTATACTTCTTTAATGACTAGTCTATAATTGCAGCCTCCATATTTAGCAATTGCGTAATGTATTTAATCCATCTAGATGACGTGTATATAATACTGATCTGTGGGCTTTTGATTTTACTATTACTTTTATCTAGACTACTCCTCCCACTTCACTATACTTCCCTAACTCCTATTAAGGGTTCAGATTCAGGTCTGACCTTAACATTACTTAATCCAGAAGCCTTTCTTAACCCTTCTAGGTTAGTTCAGATATACATTCTCTACTCCAATAGTACTGTTCATGAATTGTTAGTACTTAATTAAAATATTCTCTCTTCCATAGCAATCTTGTATCCTGCTATATCCTCACATTTAGCTGTGTGCCTTATTCATAATACCAACTTACTGAATATTAAATACATGAATGAATCAGTGAATCAGTGCTTAAGTAATTTACTGTCCACAACCTACAAGTTTAGCAATGGATCTGGAATTTTGGATCCACATCTTCAGTCTCAGATTAATTCTATTTTTATCATACTATTTCTTATATATCTTAGTTTTTTTGTGTGGATTACCATAATTTGCCTTACCATTTCAACTATGATAAGACTTTTAGAATGTTTCTAATATTTTGCTTTTACAAATGATGTTACAGGGAGCATATTTGTAGATGTTGTGAGAAACTGAACTTAATCTAATCTTACTGCAAAGTATTGAAGAATGTGACTCTGTAACTATCCTTTTTTTTTCTTTTTACACAAAAGATAACACTCTTCTATTCTACTGTAGAACAATCCCAGAAAGTTAATTGCATAGAAAGCTTCCTCATTCTTTTTGGAAGGGTTCCATTATATGGACATTCCACAGTATATTTAAATAGTCTCCTACTGATGGATACTGGTTTATGCCCAATTCTTTGCAAATACAAACAATGCTACTGCAATGAATGATCTGATGCATCAGTCACTTTGTTTAGCCTAGAAACATCTAGGCTAAACCCAGAATTTTAATTGATGAATCAAACACTATATGAATCTGTAATTTTGATGGATATTGCCAAATTATACTCTATAGCATTGGTATTATTTTGTATTCCCACCAATCATGTATGGAAGTGTCTATTTCCCTAAAACCTTGATAAGAGAATGTTTTACTTGACCACCACTTTGCTTCTAAATGACTTCTAACGGTTTAGAACTCCTCTCTCCTGTGCCCTTGCCAGCCATGTGTGAAGTATTTCCCAAAAATTGGTGGGGGTTTTTTGCTTTTTAATTTTGTTTTTTAATGTATATTATTTTAAATAGACAAGCCAATTTATCTTTTTCTTTGATTTCATTTATCATTTTTAAGGTTTAAATTTTCTTTTCCATCCAGAATTTCTTTAAAAATATTTTTTCTTCTAGTTTCTTTTGGCTTATTCAAATTCTTTTACATTTTTTCAATTCTACTCTATTTTAGAATTGATTTTGATCCTATGGTATTCTGTAAGTACAACAGCAATAGTAGCAGCAGCACATAACATTTATTAAATACTTAATTAGATATAAACCTTCTTAGATGTATAGTAAGTGAATTTCATAGAGTGCTTCTCGCATTAAAAATCACACATACTTTTAGAGAACACATAAGATTGCTTTTTCAAAAAACTATATGATTGTATGATAAACATTATTTTTAACAAGTGAGAATTTGATTGTAAAATGGTACTTAAATCGTAATGATTTTTTATTCCAATTTGGATTAAAGTATTAGTTTTAAAGCTACAACCAAATGAAGTTTAAGTATTTCACCTCAGAAATTCAATGTTAGTAGAAAAAATAGCTTTGAGACTTTGCAGATGGCTACCTGTCCTCTATATTATATAATTGTTTACATCACTTTCTTTTAAAAAAAATAATGTTTTTATTGATTTTTAGAGAGAGATAGGGACAGGGATAGAGAGATAGAAACATCAACGAGAAACATCATAGATCCCCATTGGGTATTGAGCTGCAGTGTGGGCATGTGCCCTGACTGGGAATTGAACCATGACCTCCTGGTTCATAGGTCAACACTCAACCACTGAGCCACACCAGCTGAGCACTTTCTTTATTGTTACAGACCACATCCATACCCAGCCGTCAGGTTTCTTCCCCACCTGTCATCTTTCATTGTGTTAGGGAATGACTTCATTTAATAACATGTGGTTTTTAAGAGTCTAAGAAATTAAAATTCATCAGCAAATATCAGGGAGATGTCATTTTTCAGCCTGACTTAATTCTGGCACTTAAACAGTCTTGAAATACCACAGAGTTTGGATTAAAAACAAAAATATTTTATCAATGCCATCTATTTTTTATTCATGAAGGTGTATGACAACAGATATATTTAAATGTTTCTGGTCTACTCAGATTTCCTCTAATATATTTCATTTTTGACATCTGGAATCCTGTTCATTAACTAAAATAATATAAAAGAGCAAAACTCTCTTTAGAAGAAGGACATTTTAATTGCTATACTTTCCAAATTCTGCGTGTAGAATTTGATGAGATGATATATTTGTGAGGGGTTTTTCTATTTTATGAAGCATCAAAGTTAAATAAAAATATTTCAAAATTTACAACCTATGCTTTCACCCTTACATCCTTGCTTAATGACCCCCAAAGAAGAGCCAATTCAGAGGTTTTATTTTTTAAATCTGAATTGTTTTAGATTAGGGAGAATCAAAGAATTACTTACCTCTTTTGTTGTTAATCCTCACCCAATGATAATTTTTTCCATTGATTTTTTTTTTTTTTTACAGTGGAGGGAGAGAGTGTGAGAGAGAAACATGGATGTGAGAGAGACACATCGATAGGTTGCCTCCTGCACATGCCCAAGTACTATGTGCCCTTGACTGGGAACCGAACTCGAGACCCTTTAGTGCACAGGCTGATGTTCTAACCACTGAGCAAAGCCAGCCAGGGTATGCTTACCATACACACACACACACACACACACACACACACACACACACACACACACACACACACTAGAGGCCCAGTGCAGGGAATGAGTCTAAGTTGGACAGCCTTAGTGCTGCCATGGAGGCGGGCCCCTGTGCTCGCCAGCTGTCAGCTGGCTAGTGCCTGAGTGGTGCTCTCCCTCTGGGAGCACACTCACCACCAGGGGAAAGCTCCTGCATTGAGCGTCAGCCCCCTGGTGGTCAGTGTGCATCATAGCTACCGGCTGTTCCACCATTCGGTAGATTTGCATATTACCCTTTTATTATATAGGACTAGAGGCCTGGTACACAAATTCATTTCTTTTTAATTTTTAATTATTTTTGTTGTTAATCCTCACGTGAGGATATTTTTCCCTTGATTTTTAAGGGAAAGACAGAGAAACATCATGTGAGAGAAACATATCAATTGGTTGCCTCCTGCAGGAGCCCCAATCAGGGCCTGGGCCCTGGGAGGAGCCTGCAACTGAGGTGCATGTCCTGGACTGGAATCAAACCCAGGATCTTTGGTCCGTAGGCCAAAGCTTTATCCACTGAGCCAAATCAGCTAGGGCACTTTTATTGATTTTTCGAGAGAGAGGAAGGGAGAGGGATAGAGAGATAAAAACATTAATGAGAGAGAAACATCATTTATCAGCTGCCTCCTGCTTAACTGCTACTGGGGATCAAGCCCACAACCCAGGCGTGTGCCTGACTGGAATTGAACCAGTGACCTCTTGGTTCCTTGGTCAACACTGAGCCACACCGCCCAGGCTACCTTATTTTTTAGTTTCTTCAAAATTTACCAGATAACTGAAATTTATTAGGCACTTACACAAAGCTATAGCAACTATTTTTTTTTAATTTTTTTTGATTAAGTTACTACATACGTGTCCTTATCCCCACATTACCCCCAGTGCCCCCCACTCATGCACAACAATTTTTTTTATGACAGAAAGAGCAAGGCAAGAAATGCTATTGGGAAATATTAGAGAAAACTATATATATTCTGAGTATTAGGAAAAAGGGGCTTTCGACTCTGGTTTAAGGGAGTTAGAAGATTTTACTTTTGAAGGATGTAGCTTCTGGCTATCTAGACTAAGATCCATGAAACCTTAAAAGATTTATCCAAAATGTTCTTGATCACCAAGATAGAAATTGAAAAAGAAAAGATCTCTACCAAAAATGAACCCCAAGTCATACCATTATGTCCTAATCTGTTTACAGTGTGGTATTTAATGGCCAACTTAATATTGTTTTTTAAAAATGTCCTGTGCTAAGTCAGTTAAAAGGCTTCTCCTTTATTTCCTAGTCACGATTTGAATTACATGTATGAACATATGATTGTGTGTTCTGCCAACTCTGGGGAGCAGTCGTGGGATTCAAGATCAAAATCAGTCTAAGGTGCTTCCTTACTCCACTCCCAGCCCGTGAGTGAGTCAGGTTTAGTCACGCTACCTTCTTCCCGTTTGTTCCCTTTCCTGGATGAAAGTTTTTTTTAGTGGGTTTAAAAAATCAGTTGAAGTGTTTAATAAGGCAGAGTGTGGTTGAAGGATTTCTGGAGTTGTGTGTTATCACATGGAAGAAGTGAGGAAATGTCCCACCCTGCGCAGGAAATGGGTCCTCCAGGGCCATGTTAGATGTTCTAATTAAGAGATTAGGAAAGGGAGAAAAGAATATACTGCAGTTTACTCAGCAAGTTTCTGTCTCCTTCTCCTAATTGGGATCTACAGATTTGTTTACAAGATGGTAGGCTAGTGTTTAAAATTATTATTATTAAGTTAGAAGTGGTAACGAATCAGAATCTAGCTAAGAGCATACGCTTCCATCCTTCCACACCCCAATAGCCTACCGCAGAGAAAATTCTTCTAAAGTTTCTGGTTTTAGTTCTTTGGTTTCTGCTATAATTTTTAGTAAAATGTTTTTTTCTCTCTCTCTCTCCCAGTTTATTCATTGACTCTCCAATGTGAATCCTGACAATTTCATTCATTTATATTCTCTCTCTCTCTCTCTCTCTCTCCCCCCCCCTCTCTCTCT